AAGCTTCTCCTGGTAGCCTGAAACGAGATTTCATTGCGTGCACTGCAACTGAAGATGTCTACCGTTCGAGGTTGAGCCTCAGAAACTTCGCTCTCGCCGTCCTCTTCAACTCTCCTCCCCTGCTCGTCCAAGCGTTATCATCTTCCTCCTCTCCCCATCTCCTCCTCTTCCTCCCCCCCCCCCCCTTCCCTCCTCTCCTTTCTCTTCTTCCTCTCCTTTCTCCCTCCTCTCCTTGCCTGATAGTTCGCCCTCCTCCCTCCGTTGGCTCTTCTTCCTTCATTCTCTTCGACTTCCTGCAGCCCCAGTTTCTCGTCTGCTCCCACATACTGAAGCTTCAAGCCTTGTCCTCGTGCGAGAACAATCACTAGCGATTCCAGTACCTGCACAACTGGAATGACGACAGGGAAAGAAGAAGATTAAGAGAGGTATGTTAAGACCAAGGGTAAAAGGGAGTGGTTTCTGATTGACCAGGATTGAAAGTAACAAGGAGGATCGGGACATGAAGCACATCTTGGGGAATAGGACGATTGTGAATTCTTACTGAGATTCTTGTTTCTTTGTCAGCATCTCGTTTTTCAAGCTCAGTGATTTTCTTCTTGAGGGTAACGACATATCTCTTCAGCCTTGCAATCTTTGCATTCAAGACGTCATTCTCAATCAACAAACACGACAAGGATCAACATCGTTCGATGGGCTTGTGGAGTTGTTGTCCTCCTTTTGAAAGTGACTCTCGTGCCCTGCAAATCAAAATCACAAGCTAATGAACACTAGTGGCATCTTTCACAATCAATCTTCCTTTCCTCCTCTCGCTCTCGCTCTCCTCCTCTCTCCTCTCTCCATCCCTCCCCCCTCCCCTCCCCTCCCCTACCATTTCGTGGTGTTGGTTGGGCGCTACTCATCCTCCCTCGAGGGCTTCGTGATTCACGAGTTTGCTCTACAATTTGTTCCCAAATGTCCTGATTCACTTGTCATCTCTTACCCGCGCTTCCCCCTCCTCCTCCCCCCCTCTCCCTCCATCCTTTCCTCCCCCCTCTACCCTCCCTCCTCTATTCCCCCCTGCTCTCCCCTCCTCTCCTCTCCGCTTCTCTTCGCCTTCCCCTCCCTCCTCCCACTCCTCACCGATGGTGGCGGAGTCATATCCCTTCCCGACATCCTCAGACTCGCTGGCATCTTCCCTTTCGCCACCGCCGTGCTCTGCGCGTTCTGCCATGGCCTCTACTCTCACTCTCTCCTTCCTCTCCCCCCTCCTCCTCCCTCACCCCTCGCGCGCTCCTCGGCGTCGGCTGCCCCGCGAACATCTCCACATCCCACTGCTCCGTCTGCCGCCGCGTCACTCCCTCCCCTCCCTCCCCTTGGCGTGCGCTCACCTCGGATGTAGCAGGGGAGGTGCTGGAGAGCTTGCTCCTGGCCTTGCGCAGTCCCGAAGTCTGCGAGGACAGGGCAGGGTCAAGTGAATGTTGAAGGAGGAAGGGGGAAGGGGACGGAAGGGAGAAAAACGGATATAAGGTAGCAGAGTTGATTCAAGAGCAAGAAGAAAGAGATGAAGAGGTGACGCAGAGAAACAGAGCAAAGAGTGGAGGAAAGAAGGAAGATGGTTCAACAGGTTTGGCAATTTTGCCTCTTCCAATACTTTCTCGTAGCTCTTAGATGTTCATTATCGCCCTCTCATTCCCTCTAATCACTCCCATTCTCCTTGCAGCGTCTCGCGTCCCAGTCCCCTGGTTGAGTCAACCAACCTTGGTTCCGCCGCCTCCATCTTGCCTGCTCTGCTCTGCCCTGCTCACCCTTTTCTCTCAGTGCTCTCCTCTCCTCTCCTCTCCTCTCCTCTCTTCTCCTCTCCTCTCCTCTCCTCTCCTCTCATTCCTCTCCGCTCCCCTCTCCTCTCCTCTCCAATCCTATCCTCTCTTCTCCTCTCCATGCCACTCCGGTTCAAAGAAGTGAAAGACACCTTTCATGCGTAGTCAGAAGAGCTTTGAGAGACCAGCGTT